TATATATTATATCTGTATGAGTGTCTTTTATATAATATATACGAGTATATATTTACACGACTCTTCAGTCTTCATGCAATATAAGAGTATTTTATCGTTTATGTAAATGTACTCGTACTATGTAAAAGCGCATGTCTAATCTGAAATTATAGTAGTCATATTTTGTTATTGTTGTTATAGTTTCATCATTGACGTTCATTGTTGAAAGTAGATATTCATAATTTAATAAATCTTGCGAACATCAACTATATTACTTTTTTCTATTTAATTTTCATAAATAATCTATACAAAAAATGAACAATATGCTTATTTATTATGAGTAGGCGTAGATATGAAAATGATTGATGAAGTAGTTACCATTAGCTACATATAACTTTATTAATAATAATTTATTTTGCATTATATATTTTAACGATTAAATCAAATCGATATAAACGAGTAATATGACATTATTAACCTTCTGTATGTATATGAACTTGATGTTTTGACAAATATTATACCATGTTACAGTGTATATTTATAATATTCGTGATTCACATAAATTAAAAATGAATCCATATAATAATTATTAATAGATAACTTAATTTTTAATTAAAAAGTATGTATTTATGATTTTTTATACATGTTCAAAAGTTAGATTTAAAAAAAAAATTAAAAAACCGAGTACCGTTTTACTGTTTCTTAGGTGTTGAGTAGGTCATTGTTGTATATGTGTTAAATTTGAATTCAATGATATATTATTGTATACAAAAAGAAAATTTAGAGATATTTCAGCCTATTTCATTAAATATAATTAATGATATTATATATATATATATATATTTTTTTTTATATAGTTATTAAAATTATTTATTTTACTGTAAATATTATTGATATTATGATATTATTCAAATTATATTATCGCAATTTAATAATATTTTTCTGTAAATACTGTAAAACAGTACAAATAGATACAAGTTCAATAATATCTGTTTATATATAAATAGATAATATCTTAAAATAAATTAAAAATATCGTTGTGTTTAGAAAAATTTATAATCATATTTATACCATATTTCGACATAAACATTTTTTTCTCTTATTTTTTTAATTCAAAAATGTATGTTTTCACCAAATATTCATAGTACAATTTAGTAGATATAATAATATGTAATAAATAATATATAATAAAATGTTGGATCTTTTTGTGTTATTTATAGATATTAGAAATGTTCAACTCATTTTCAATTTATTCTTTTTCTATTCAGTTTACCGATCCATTAAGATAAGGGCCATTGCTGTCTTCAACAGGTCTCTACGTCTTTGTCTATTATAAGTTGACTCATAAGGCGCATTCTGTTCTATTACTCTTAGATCTTTGGCAATTACATCGATCTACTGAGACTTTGGTTTTTCTAGGAGTTGTATTTTGTTGATTTTTTTTCGCCAGTACTTTTTTTTTTATTAATAGTCTATCTACTTTTCAAAGTGTGTCTAAATCACTCTAGTCGTTTATTCTTGATGAACCTTAGAAGGCTTAGGCATTCATAATTATACAATTTTTACGGTTGGTTTTTAGTTTTTTTTTTTATTATCGCATGCCCATAGCACCTGTATCAGATACAAAAAAATACATTACATTAAATTAAAATACACATCATTCTAAAATTAAAAATTAAATTGTGTATAATATACCCAGTTCAAATTTAAATATTGACAAAATTGGATATTAAAACGAGAAATAATCATTCTAGTTATTTTGTTTAACTTTAAAAATATTATTCATAAAAAATCAATACTATTTTCAAAATATTTAAATAAGTTTTAAAATATATTTATACCAAGAACTTATTCATCTATACAAATACTAAATATGGAATAGTAACCAATAATATAATATTAATAAATATTATTATAGTTAATTTGTAATGCATACAATTTATTCTTTACAAACATTAGTTCAACATTCCGTATTACAAATCGAAAAATAAATACTGTTAGTAATTTATAAATATATATAATGGTTTATCATTGAATTAAAATTCAACACATCTAATATGATGAGTACTTAATTTATGGTATATTCAACATCTTACATTCAGTATATTTACTTTCTCAGTTTTTTTCTTTTGTTTCATTAAATTATGTTGTCAATCCAAATGTATAGCAGATATTTTATTACTAACGTCCCTTGGACTATCTCTAACATCATTTAAATTAAGACTTTAACGTTTATTTCTTCGGTTTTTTTTCAGATCGATAAGTATTATATTAATATGATTTTTGTAATTAATTATTTTTACGGAAATTACAGTTACTCTACGACCAATTCTATCATCACGATACCCATGCCAACCCACAGGTCACAATAATTACCACATTTAAGCATATACCTATGATTAGACAATCCATTTTAAACCCCATTGAATGTTATCGTATTAACTTCACTAGTTAGTAATAATTTTATGGTGGAAATATGTACGTAGGTACTTATCCTTTTAAAATAAATATACCCAGCACACATACTCCAGCTTATAATTAAATAGCTGTTAATTTTAGTTAATCTTTTAACTATGTTTTTGTCGAGTTTATGTAATTTATAATTGGTATCTCACCAGTTGCCCTTGTATGTTTTTATTCTCATAATACTCTTTATAAGTGTGTCATAATAATAAAAACACTTATTTTAAAAAGCTATAATTTTTTTTTTTTTTTGTTTTTATGCATATTTATATAGTATATATTAGTCCGTATATATGATTCTATGAAAATAAATCCGTAAAGAAGCAGTTCACAGGACATATTTTGTAATGTATTTCTATTTGAACACACTCTACACAACATAACAATATATGGACTGCTAATGTTGCTTTGTATAACTGTCCAGTGTTAAAAACAAAATAATATTATTAGAGGAAATAAATATTGTAAATTAAATTAAAAAGCTTGTAAAAATGATGAATTATTGGATAAATAATAATCCAAAATAAACATTACATGGCCAATATGTGCTTTAGTTTATATAAGTTTTAAATTATAATATTACCTATATGTATTTAGTATTTACTTATTCAATCATATTGCACAGCAAAATGTTACATCACCAATTGATAAAATAATATATATTGTAGTATTGTACTTTTACATAATATGTAATATGCATATTTTGTTGGAAATTCAATAGTGCAAATGTTTTATTCATTTATTTTCATCTGTATTTTAGATTTTAAATAAACGTATAGGTAACAAAAAATACACTTTTTAATAATATAAACTCATTTTTTTTTTTAAAGGAAATATAGAATATTGTTTAACTGAATCAATACATATTATTTGTTACACAAAACACATCTGTAGGTACTGCATATATCACATATAAATGTATATAATTTATACAAATTTATTTAGATTATAAAATTGGTAAGAGTTGCATTAGGGCTTAGTTAACATTTTATATTTTGTTACACGATTTTGAAATAATATTTTATATTATCCAATTCTAAATAAAATTTATCATTATTTTAATTTATGTGATATATATTCGTCACTTGGGTATATTATTAGCCGTAGATACACTAAGTTTATTATACATACATATTATGTAAGTTTGTTTTACTTGGATTATTTTTATGTTTATTAGGTATTACATATAAAAAAAAAAACCTAAAAGCCTTATTTATATATTGTTTAATGTTAGTTTATAGATATTCTTAAAAATTTATAACTAACTTTAAAATTTATTTTACATTTTGGATAGTAAAAATTACTTATAATAATAATAATAATAATAATAATAAAGACAATAGTTATAAATTCAGATAATAAGTATTATTAAATATGGTACTTATTTTTAGTTTCAGTTTCATCGGAGCCTGTGACAATTTTTTTTTTTTTTTATAACGGTTGTGGTATATTGACAAAATCATAAGTTGTATATCTCAGTCCAAAGGAAATAGAAAACTTTTTGGCTGCCAGTAATTTTTGGCCAGTCTTAGATGAAATTACTGGCCGCATATCTGGTGCTGACCGCATAGTTTATAGGGTGCAATTTTTTGTGTTTTTTTTAAATATATGGTAACTGTTTTTATGATATAGAAGTTCTATATTAAGGACATTAAAATCTTCAAATAGTTTTTTCGTTAGATATTTCCATATTTTTTATTTTTTTACTCATAATTCTGATTATTGTGTTTTGACATATTTTCATTGTTAGTAGAGCATTATCATAGGCCCTATATCAACTAAATATAACGTATATAATTACTGATTCAAATGTTATTAAATAAATTGTTCTAATATTCTTAAATGATAATATCTCACATAGTTATTTTATTATGTAAATTATCTTTTTAATTTACAATAAACCGATATTATCTTATTTATCCATTTCGTATTGGAATACGTACCAATACCTAAGTAGTAACTAGTAAGTTTCTAAAGTTTTTAAAAATTCTGAACGAGTTACACCAACATAACACACGTTATTGTAAATAATTAATTTCGTGGATTTTTACATAATTTTTAACTTCCAATATCTACTATGTTAGTGAATAGAGTAATATGGTCAATTTGTTAAAATACAATAATAAATTAGTATTTCTTGTAAAAATATTAATAGATTTTAGATAAACCACAATATATATTTCGTGCATATTGTGTGTATTAGCTTGATATTGACAAGATAGTCTATATATACAAATATATACAATATACATGAACAAACGGTAATATAATTATAATAACGTTTTTATAGGACAAATTATTTAATTATAAAAGCATAATTCACTTTTTAAAACGAATATTTAGTCATGAAATAATATAGTTCAGGAATCTTTAAGCTCCAGTAAAAAAATTAAATATTTTAATAGCATTTTAATATATTTATATATATCGACAAGATTAGGCCTATAATTTATGCGCGTTTGTATGTAGTACGTCCCGCGAGGAGTTACTAATTTAAAATGGCAGAATAGATTTCGCATTAATCCTGCTACACTTCTAATTCAACTTTCACGTTGCAGGTACATAGCAATAATTCACCCTCTGAGGCCACGTCTGGGCCGGAAGACGACGCTGATGATAGCCACCAGCATTTGGGTGGTGGGTACCATACTATCAATACCAAATCTAATATTCTTCACCACGCACACAGAGTTGTTTCCCAACGGCGATCAGCGGGTCATATGCTACGCTGAGTGGCCAGATGGTATCACTACAAATAGCTTCCAGGAATACGTGTGAGTGAATAATAATTATGATTAAACCTCATAGAAGAAATAAGCTAGAGTATTGAACCGTAGTCAATAAACACTTCATGAATTCGTACTAAAATAAAAGAAAATGAAACGAAGAAAAAATGTAAATAATCCATACAGTGACGCGGGGATACGCAAGTGGGTATGTCATGAGGTTTAAAAGCAGCGACAAAAATTTTTTCTGGACAATTTGCAAAATTTCCTACTAAAGAAATATTATTAAATCGAAAATATCTGAATAGAATTTGAATAGGATATATACGAATCTTTTTTCGATTTTTAATTTTTATCGATACAGTGCAATTATTTTCAACAAAATATCGTGACAAATAATTATTGTTTTTATAACAATTATTATAATAATAGTATGATTATTTCAATGATAGTAAATCATTTATACAGAGGATATTTTTCTGCAAGAAAAAAATACTTTATTTTTACATAACTTAAACATACATGATCTGTATAATCAATATTAAAGAGACTGCCCTAAGTAACTGATTTATAATAAGTTAATAAGCGCAGATCCGAACCTATAAGAGTTATCAATTTTAAATTTTGAGGGTAGATTTATATTAAAATTTCACCCGTGCAGTAAGAAAGGATTTTCAACATTTTAATTTTAAGGAATTAAAATCGATAAAAAAAAAAAAATAAATTACGTGTAAATTGTATTCTTATATACATCGATGAGCTTATAAGCTGTAAGCCTTTAGCTTATATTTTTAGGATCCTTTTCACATGGACTATTCTATATAACATACTTCAGAATTAGTACGCCCAAAAGTTTAGAATTATAGCACCAAATAAAGATACATCAAACGTAATTTATAGAGAAGTTTTATAATACAACCGTTGTCATAAATCATTATTTTTTATTATATGCCTATTAAAATTTCACGGAAAAAGTCGCGACAGATAACCTGCTGGTTATATAAAATTCCAATGTGCTGAAAAAAATATATTTAATCTAAAAAAATATTTGTATCTCTAATTAAATAACTTTATAGAACACAATACATGTTAAAAGAATACCTATACAAATTTATATTGACTATCTAACCACATATTATATCACTTGAATAAATATAGTCAAGTGTATCTTAATTTAATGTATTATTGTTAATAGTAACTTTATAGTGTATATTGATAATTCAAAATAACCTTAGTTAAAATTTGAAATTTATTTCATTTTTACCAAGATAAATTGTAAAAAAATTTACAATTTAATTATTGTTAGGTAATAGTAGTGCAAACAATTTGTAAATGAATATTAAATAAATTAAATTATTATTAAATAAATACATTTTTACCTAACCTAACTAACCGATCGCACTAAATTTGAGATACGGCATAATACTCTGTTACTTTAGAGGAATAGAGTGTTACTGTACCACAAGTATAAACATTATAATATTTATTTATGTATTTTCTTGTTTTAGAATTTTTTAATACATTTTATTCTAATCTATGTAATTATTTAACATTTTTTTTTTAAATTTAAATTTATTAATAGTACTTAATTATAATTTAAGATACATAACCAATACTTTAATTTATGTTTTATAACATCAAATTGCATAATCATAATAAATTATTAATAAATACATTAGCATTATTTTTAAATAATTGTTTTATTCATATTGTTTACCATACGAAATTAATTTAACATTCTAATAATTAGCTTTAAAAAAAAATAACCTATAATTAAGTTATTTTTAAGAATTTTAGTATGAACGTGAACTATACTTTTCACGTACTTATTTTTTTTTATGTACATGGCTAATAAATTATGAAAGTAAAAACGTATGTTTTCTTGATGTACAAATATGTTTTGATATATATTGATCTTAGTAGATTCGGTAATTGCTTGTAAAGTTATTATTTAATAAGAATTTAAAAAAAAAATAATTCGTTGACTAGATTTTCGTAAAATAATGACGGTCAATAGTCAATATAATCTAACCTAACTTCAGTAGAACATATTTAAAGAATTTCCGTTGTAAATAATTATAGAAGTAATAACTTATAAGCATATAATTTATAAATATGTATACATTATAATTTAAATTTAAAAAATACAGATAGGTAATGATTAAAAATTTAAAACTATCATAAACTGAATATTTTATAACACTAATCTCATCTAATACATTGTTTAAAAAATTGGGGCAGAATTATGAATTATGGTAGTACATAATTATTTCGTAAATTGTATAATTTAAACTACGCGTAAATGACTTAGCTTATATATTTGTATAGGTGTTTAGCTTCAAAATTGAGGTAACATAATTTATCAACTAAAAATTGATATAATATGTTAGCCAAAACCATAAAATGCAATAAGGTATATATATATATATATATATATATATATATATATTTTTATAGCACATTATAAAAAGGTAGCAATGTAGGTACCACTCTACTGTACATGTCGAGTAAGTTACTGTAATCGGTGGGGTTAAATTTAAATTGAATGATATAATATCATTATATACGAAAATCGATTTTAAGTGGAGGTGATCTGTGAAATTATTTTTTGATGATAGGTTTGTTTTTTTTTTTGTTATAGCTATTAAAGTAATTTATTTTACTTTTAATATTACAGTAAAGTTTGATTTATTTTTTCCGATAACATTTTTTTTATTATTTTATTATTAGTATTTAATTATCAAGATAATATATATTAATACAGTGGTTGCCATACTTTTTTTTCCATCGCTACACATTATTATTAGTTATTATATAAGTCATAGCACGATTTGGATAAATATTAAATATTATCTATTTTCCAAGTATAAATGATTTATATATTTTATGTATATAAAGTTCAACTTTTCACGGTACACCCTTTGGGAAATACTGTATTAATACCATTTTTATTGTCATTATTTTTTATGATAATAATAATTGAGTTTGTAAATTTTTATAATTTTGATACATTTTCTAAAAAATTCAAATTTAACTAAAAAAAATCAATTGATTAGCTTCCAAGTTTTTTTGATTTTAAATAATAACAAAATAAGACGTTTTTTAAAAAACTGGTTTAGTATTAAGATTCTCATTTTTCTTTAATTTTAGTTTTTTTATAATTTTTACTTTTAACCCACCAAAGTACTAATTAGATACAATTTTCTACCAGAAACTGAGAAACTACCCGTGGAATTGAAAGTCAAATAATAATTTTCTGTCTCAAAAGGTGATGATAAACAGAAAAAAAATATCCTTTTAAAATTAATGTATTCATTGTTTTACTCAGAATTTGAGCGAGAAAATATTTAAGATCAAAAGCAATATTTAAATATTAACAATTTTATAATATAAAATATTATTTAATTATTTATTGCTATTGCACGGTTGTCATATTATTAAACAGTCAAAAGTTAAAACGCTTTTGTTTTTCAATTAAATTGAGAAAAAAATTACCCGTGTATATATATACGTATACACTCACTGTTAGTTGAAACATTTTTTATTTATAAAACATGGTTCAAAAGTTGTAAAAAAAAAAAATGCTTCATCCGATATAGTAACTGAATAATTAACTTATAAACTAATTATTTTTCTACCACTGTGCATACATCTAATGATTGTATACACATCACACAATGAAAATATTAAGTTTATAAAAATGTTTTATTATATCAAAGGATAGTAGTAATTCTTCGTGCGTAAATTAATATATTAATACAACAACTTTACTCTGTTCTCTCTATACGTGTTAACGCATACGAAATTATATTATCTTTACTTTTTATTTAAGATAAATTCGTATTCTACATGAATATAAAGTATTATGTAATAATGCATTACATTATATTAAGATAATATAATATTTCTAACGTGCATCATAATAATGTTATGGCATTCAACGAATCCAATGATTATTGGATTGGACGACTATTTTTTTCATATTCTTATAAGTGATTATTTCACAATTAAAATATCATTAAATTCAAACACGTCCCTGAGAATAAACTGGACCAACAAAAGTTATGATTGCTTATAATAGAATTCTTTTTGTATTTTCACTTATTAAATTTCAGTTTTACGCATTCAATAAATTCATTCTTCTTTATTGTCTGACAATACATCTTTATCGGTGAATTTTTTATTACAATTTTAAGTTTTTTATTAGCCTCTATTGTAAAGTGTTTATAGATTTAAAGAGGTATATAGCTGTAGTTTTCAAATATTAATGTAAATAAACTCTATTATTTTCATAAACATTTTTTTTATTAATAAACTTTGACTAGATAACTATATTATTAAAAAAATTTAATTCATACCTAATGATAGACGGTCAAACGTTATTTTTTAACAATTTTTTCTAATATTTTCTAATTTTATTTTAGGTGTATTATAATTATTTATAACTCGTCAATATGTGTTGAAAATTTGTTGGACCACTAATGACTGCAATTAAATTGAAGCAGTTGATATAAAGGTTATTTTTTTTTTAAACTAGCTTTCATATATTCTATAATTGTTTAATGAGATATAATTTATATAAGAATGTCCAAAACCAATTGTTAAAGCATCAACTTTTAAGTAGGTACAAATCTTAAGTTACTGTTAGCTAACAATAATGATCGTTAATCATCCGTATTTTAATGTTAATACTTTAACTACAGTATATATATAAAGCTGAAAATTTTCAAAAAAATTAAATCTGACTTAAAAATCTTAACTCATGCATTATAAAAATTGGCTTGAACCTTACTCCATAGAGTTGAAAAAAATATGAAATATATAATGTTTTTTTTTTTAATATATAATAGGTTAAATAAATTGGTTGAATTATTTTGTCATATTCACAACATTAATGTTTTTTTTTTTCATACAAAATAATAAAGAGAAAAATTATTAAAAAAACGTCAAGCACAATCATAATAATTTTAAGAAAACTATATAGAATATGATAATATTATTAGATACGTGTGACTAGAGAACTGTCTCAATTGAGATTGACTTAAATT